TCAGTGTTTGCGAACACCTGTGCGCGTCTGTCTGCTCCTCCACAGAATGGGTAAGCCCATGGACATTCCTATGGAATTGGTAAATGGATGGAGTGAAGAGTGAATGGGTAGCACCCTCTGTTCCCGAACAGCTCACAAACTGATCGCGAACGCAGATACATCATTATTGGATCCAACAGGAGAACGTGGCCGAACTTTATATCAACATTTGCTTTTATTGGGACATTCAGATACGGTGTGTTTTAATTTTACTAGCATTCGGTATAACCTCAGATGGTCTGGTTAAAGGCTAAAGTAATATTATTTTGTGGGACTGGACAGGGTGACTGCATTTGTATGATCAGTTCTCGGAATTCCAGAAGCCAATTTTGTAAATATTTTGCCAGCCTTCGACACAATTTCACGTATCGTGGTTAGCAAGAGGCAAGAAAGAATCATTTGAATCTTCAAAAGCTCTGAGACTCTGGAACGTCAAAAGGAGTGAAGCTGGTCGATGCAGCGGAGGGCCGAGAGATGAAGAGCGGCGGCTCCCAGTCAACTGCCGCTGCTGAGGCCCGTCGGAGCGCGGCGGCTCCCAGTCAGCTGCCGCTGCTGAGGCCCGTCGGAGCTGTGTTGCTGTTCGTTTGCTTTCGTTCGTGAGGACAGGCAATGAACAGACGCACTTGCTCCACTTTTTTGGTCATGCGATTAGCAGATTTTGTAATGGTCGCGTAACGGAAGCTCAGCTCAGCTTCTTGCCTGCCCACTCGTGCGTCCCAGGGATCGTCAAGTGCACGCGCGGTACGCACAGCGAGATCAGCGCTGTCATATGGGCGAAGACGAGTGAAATACAAGTTTGGATGGTGCGAGCGTGGCGATAACCACAGCACACCACGACAGCCTCGGATACCAAAGAAAAAGAAACACATATCGTCAGTTCACAGCAGGGTCTCCTGTATACCAGCTGCTCGTGACCAGGTCATGCACGGTTGCGTTCATTCGCGCCGGCGATTGCCGGCCGGCCCCTGCTCGTGAACACACTTTGTTGACAAGCAGTTAGTATTAGTTTATTAATTGAAATTGACGAACACCCAGCCTTGGTTTTGAACACGGTGGTTGTTAGACGAGACGAAGCACTGGACAGTGGAAGCATTCGCCGATTAGGTAAGCCCATAGGGTACCCATATGAAATGGATAACAGGCTGGATTGGATATGGGCTTCGGAAACTTGTCGGTTATAGGTAGGCGATGTTATGTAAGACGTTCACATAATGTCGGAAGAACGCTTAGAGAAACATCACGCAGTTTTCTGCTTCTTAGCGCTTTTGTCTTTTCGTGCTTCAGTTAGTTTCATTCACACTACACCTGCAATTACCGTTGCACGTGTATCCGCTGACAGTCCTGAAACACTGTTATAATTTAGAACTCAAATGCTAATAAAACACAAGCGGGACATAGCAAGTGGCACAGCATTTGGAATGAACAGCAGTTTGGTATGGACCCTGGTCACATGGAAAGCGTGGGACTGGGTAAAGGGAAACTTACCTTTGGAGACCTTACCGGGGTGGAGCACCACACCAGGAGTTCATTGGGTTGGATGGCACCGTCGAGCAGATGGGGCCGAAGGTAGTGGTTTGGGACTGTGGGCCGACTTTCGCGTGGTAATAATATGCCGGTTTGTTCAATCTGCCTGTTCTCACGTTTTATACGCTTCATTTCCAAGACCCAGTCGATCCAATCTGACATAAAATCCAAACCTGGTAGCGAGCTGTGTCATATTAGCAATATCAACTCTAGTCCAGAACAATCTAATAAGGCAATGGGAATGTGGCAAGACGTCAATCGTTTCGTTCTTGCACGTTCTTCCGATAGGTGTAGCGTCGTAGTCTTTCTGAGTGTCTTTTCTCTACATCGTCTTTTTTCTACCCCATGCTCCTCGGGGCCTTTTCGACCCAACTTTAACCAATGCTTACGGAAATCTACAATATGCAGATTGGCCCGATCCGTTAAGGGCTCTTCTACGCAGCTCGCAGGGGTGGTCGACGCCGAAGGCTGGCTGAAACATTTCTTTCAGCAGGTGACGCCGCCCGGTGTTGTTGGTTACGCCCCGTTACACAGACCCCTGCCCTCGGCTGCAGAACTGTAACCGGGGCAGGGGCCTGGCACCGGGGAGGGTAGCGCGGCGTGCCCAGCCATTCGGGAGCGGAGGCCGACCGGAGCGGGACGGGCCGCAGCACCTCTGACGATGAAGAGGCTCGGCCTGCTGACGGCCGGCATGCCGCCGCCGCCGCCGCTGCTACTGTTGCTGCTGCTGACCGCGCTGAGCGTGCCAGGTGAGCGGACGCCGCGGGGACGACGGAGAGCGACGGGGAGCGGCCAAGGGGCGACGGGGAGCGACGAGGGGGCGAGGACGGTCTGAGCCGTGTCAGTAATGGGAGGTGCTGCTAGTTCAGGTGACGGCTGATGTGCCAGGCGGCAGGTAATGCCCTGCCGAGTGACAGGTGCAGGATCAGAGGTGACGGGTGATGTGCCGGGTGGCAGGTAATGCCATGTCGAGTGACAGGTGCAGGATCACAGGTGACAGTCGGTGCTGGTTACGACACCAGGCACCAGATACATGCCGTATAGAATGTTGGTTATGCCGCATGGCGCCAGGCAAATGCTCGGTGATAACGTGCTTGCCTGCCGTGCCAGATCCGCAGCGGACAATTCCGGATCACAGAGGGGTCCTTGGTGACAAGGTACAGGTCCCGGACTGGTTTTTTAAGGTCTGCACTTCTTTTTGTTTTATTTTGTCTCAAAATGGGATGATAAAAAAGCAGCCCGATAGCATACCAACTAACAAAAGCATTAGTGTATAAGTCACGCAACTTAAATCTGAGCCCCGCTCCTCAAAGCAGAAACAAGACAGGAGACACCCGCCGGACGTGGCACTCTTTCAAAGGTTCCGCCACAGCGCCAGTGGAAGCCATCGCCACCGCCTCCGCTTCTCGCCGAAGTTGTAACGCTTTAATAATGTATTCCTGAACGCACGCCACGAGCACCTGGCCGTCCTCGCTGTTGAGTTTGTTCCGTAAGGCCATCTGCAAGGCGTGTATGGTATCGGTGTTCGAGAACTGATTGAAATATGGTTCTAATATTTGTGCGACACGCTGAAAGAGATCGCGCATACGGTTAAAAAAAAGTAAGCAAAATGGGATCAAAGGATTAAAAGCTTCAGACCTATGACCACAGGAACAGAGAGAGATGGGAGATGTTTGGATCTGGAAGAGATGTGCGTCACGATGAAAACTCCTGGTCCACGCCTGGGTATGACGGATGTTTCCACATTTTGACGCGTTTGAGGCGCCTGGAGCAGGCTTGACAGCGCTAGTCAGATCTGTTACAGATTCATTGAAGTTTTTGCATGATGTCTGTGCCCGAAGTGCTTCTGGTGGTTTGTTTCTTATGCAAAGGGTGTCACATACGAATGATTATTGAAAATATATTTTGTTTAAGGCTAGTGTCATGGGTTTTGGAGTTTCTGAGTGTTCTGCCAGTGTTTGTTATCCGTGTATGGGAGAGTGTCTGTCATACATCGAGAGTACTGGTCTGTTGTGCTCATCACCACGTGAAATATTGACGGTTTGTGCAAACCGCAGCTTTTCTTAACACGGACCCGGGTGACCGGTTGGGTACCCTTCGCTCTGGTGATTTAATTTGGCCCCCTGAGATCTCATAAACTAAGAGAGTTATAGGCACCAAATTCACAGAGTGTATTGACCTGCACGTTAACACACTTAGGTTAAAATTTGAGGTTTCCAAGCGTGACCTTTAGGTCAAATAAGGTCAGACAAGGTCAAACTCCACGTTT